CTCGCTTCCTCTGAGTACTTTATTGTGAGTCTTTGTCTCTCGCCTCTTCCAGCGGCAAACACGGCGGCAGCGAGCCTTACACATGGAAATGTTACTGTCCTTAGTCTTTGTCTAATGTCTTTGTAATGTAACACACACAAGTGGCTCCAGCAGCTGAACTGGCTGTCCCGCTTTCTACACAAACATGCAAACACACGCACGCACACACACTGCTTAGTGAGAAAGCTCGAGACTGTGGGAAAGAAGACGAGCGGGGCGATCTCTGGCTCACTCGTCCCCCGAGGAAGGCGCACACAAACTCACAAAAATGCGCACTACATGTGAACAAACATGCGAACATGGAATCCGTGCACTTTGAACTTTTCACATTTTGACTGTGAAGATTTTTTTAGCATCAAATTTTTCTCACGACTTTTTTTTAACCCCCCACGATCTGTGGAAACAACTGCAACAACAGAATCCCCTGATCTCACCTGAGGCCTTAAGTGGCAAGCGTGCAGAAACCAAACGCACCTACATGATTTGTTTGTGCTGAAAAGGCGAATAAAGCAAATGTTCTGATTCCATTTCTATTTTTATCACGAGCCGTTAAAGCAGCGCTCACGTTCAGGTACCACGAGCTGTGCTGAAAAATGTTTTCAGCTGCTACTTTCTAAATGAAAATGTTTGCCCCAGAGGGGATATTGGCACTGTGATTCAGCGTGTTGCAGTTTACATTACAAGCGTTTCGTGAACTTTGCACACGTGCAAACTTTTATCTGCAATTTTTCATGAATTGAAAATCCAAATTGAATCTATAGAAACAAAGATGTTTTCAATAAAACTGCTTTCTGTGTTCTCGGGTAATGTCTCATAATCCACAGGGCAGGGGTTCATGTTTCCATAGTCTCATTAAAGGCGTTTAGAAGGAAAGATATGTTGGACCCAGTAACTGCCTGTCATCCCATTCATCTGCTTTATATTCATCTGTTGGCAAAGCATGAGGTCACCCTTAAACAAACTGTTTTCAGGAACAGCGCCTTGTGTATTTACATGAGGTTTCATGTAAATACACAAGGAAATGAAAATACTTCATGAGCATTCATTGCATTGACAGTAAAGGAAGCTCACTTATCAGCGATCGCTGCCGTCCCGTCTGGTGCGTATGTATCACACTGATGAGAGCCAGGCTGCTTTGGTTTTGTGGAGCCACTCTCATGTGTTCAGAGCTGCATTAGCAGACTGGACACCAGCCAGCCACCCGAGTCGTTTTTTCTCCGTTTCCACAGTGACGTGTGAAATATCACAGGGTCAAAGGTCAGGGGTCAATAGTTTGGGGTATTTGGCAGCTCTGAAGAAAATATGTGAGAAAAGAAACACACGGGCATCATTTACACTGTAACAGACACACTAACACTCACAGCCCGACATGCACGCACACGTTCGCAGTGGTGCAGGGGTAATTCGGTGCCAGTGTGTCACAGTGGGGAGGGCGAACACCCAGATCAGTGTCCGGTTTTTGTTGCCGTTCTCTGTTTTGTTTGAAACGAGTGGGAGATGGATAATTAGGGCCCATCGTGCAAGTGTGAGACGTCCCAAATCCCAGGTTGACCTTTACGTAACATTGTTACAGAATAACAGAAGCTAATATAAAAGGCTAATTTGCAGCCTTTTGGGCCTGCTGCCACTTTGAAATTTATTTTTGATTTTAAATTAAAAAAAAAAAAAAATTGTGCAGGAGACTCAGTCCACACCACAAGGCCATTAAACAAACCGACAACAGAAATCATCGGTCCATAAAGTCATCCGTGATTACATTCCTGCTCATTTTCACTTAAAATCCTGCTCAGCTGCTTGAGTCCAACCATATGAGAATACTCTTATTTTTACCAGACAATCGTTTGTCTTTTATTTAATGGGGAAAAAAATGCTTTGAAGTTTAAGGCAGATAACTACAGTCTCACTTAACAGGCTGATGTCTGGCGTGGATGTAGCCTGATATCACCACAGTGCTCTGCAGGGTAACACTTTCTTTCTGGGTTCGTGTGAACAGATGAGGCGTTCTGATGTGTGAAGGGTCACGTGCTATTAAAATAATGTTGTCCTGGTTTTATGTTGGATTTGTGAACAGAGAAAGTTCACTCCTCCCCTCTCTTTCAGACACACACGCAGACTCCATCCTGTAGGACAAAATAAACTGCGTGCATCTGAGTTGCGGGGTTCCTGCTTCCCATTCAGCATGCTGGTCCATGTTGGATCTATGTATGTCTGTGTGTGTGTGTGTGTGTGTGTGTGTGTGTGTGTGTGTGTATGAGAGGGAGATAGTCTCTCTCCAAATCAAGTACGTGAGGAGGAAAAGTAAAAAAAAAAAAGCACTCTTCAGATTAACCTCTGCGACCCGCAGCTGAGAAACTCCTACAGCAGGAAATACAGAGTGGAGTGTCTGTCTGAGATTTACTGCCAAGAAAAGATAATGTGTAGAGACAGAAGAAAGAGGAGGAGAGGTGGAGTGAATGAGGGGAGAAGAAAAGAGTTTATATCAAGAAGAGTCTGGCTCAGATGTAGCGTTATGAACACCAGGCCATCAGGAATGAAGTCAGTTTGAGTAAACACATTCAGACTTGACGGCAGAGTCGACTCTTATGAGTACTGTAGAAAAAAGGATTTCTTCTGAGAGTCTGCAAGGTCAAGTGAAGTCTGAAATGTACTTAAACTTAAAACTAATAAACTCTTAGTTGAAGGTTTGTGTGTCTTGTGTAGTTATAAAACAGTTACCTGAAGCATTCAATCATTGATGACTTGCTGAACCTGTTGTACCACATTTTTATTATGCTGGAAAACAAGTACTATGCCCAACAAGTAGTGTGTGATGAAGGCAATGGCAAATGTTTTTCTTTATGTCTTGAATTGCTTGCACAGGAACAAGATCTGCTCTTGCTTGAAATTCTGTTTGACATTTAAAAAGCTTAAATTTGAGTTTATTATCCCTGCAAACGGCCTTCAATGCTAAAGGCTACTCAGAATGTTGGACTTTAGGTTGTATTGCAAACTAAACATGTTTTGAGATGCACGAAAGACATGAAAATGATCCGATTTTCTACGAGTGCGGTCCTCCCCACGTGTTATCTTACTTTTTTATTCTAATCATGTGGCCCATTACCACCCGCTGCCTCTTGTCAGTATTTTTGGTTGCCTGCAGCAGCGTTCAGTTTGTCTTCCTGCCAGAGCGGTCGACTGGTAACAGGAGGAAGTCATCACTCTACCCTGCTCGGCTGCTCTCCCCACACCGTCTCAGCCGATGAGTTCAGACTCGAAAACTTTCCGCATTCAGGTCTGGCGAGTAACCATTGAGGATATGTTTAGACGCTGAAGGAGATGAATTTAGCCATCTTTTCTTGAGTGGCCCCGAAATAAATCTGAGCAGCAGCTCGGCAGATCCTCAGTTATCAGTCTTGTTTGGTGCGGTCTGAAGCAGAACATGAGTCTTACTAATGTGTTTTCTGTCTCTGTCCCTTTCAGAGCGGTGTTTTCTGGCAGAGACATGGCGGCGCCGAGGTGTGAAGCTTTGTTCTTTTTTGCTGCCTTCCTGCTGGTGTCTTGCAGCGCCTCACCCAGTGACATCCTCTATCAGGTTTTTGAGGAGCGACCGCCCAACACGATGATTGGCAGCCTGGCGACAGACCAGGGCCTGCCCAATGCCGGTCATCTCTATAAGCTGGAGGTGGGTGCGCCGTACCTGAGGGTCGACGGCTCGACCGGTGACATCTACACCACCGAGATCCCCATCGACCGTGAGACGCTGAGAGACTGCCGCAACCTGTTCGAGGGCGACAAATGCTACCTGGAGTTCGAGGTGTCGATCACTGACATGGTGAAGGGTATCGGCAATGGGCCGCGGCTCATTGAAGGTCGCATCGAGGTCCTGGACATAAATGACAACACGCCGCAGTTCTCCTCGCCTATCCTGACTCTGTCCATTCCCGAGAACACGCACATCGGCGCCCTCTTCTCCATCCCCATGGCCACTGACAGAGACTCGGGGAGCAACGGCGTGGCCGATTACTCTCTGAGCAGTAGCACCGGATTAAACGCTGACCAGCTCTTCAGCCTGCAGGTCGCCGTGGACGCGGAGGAGAAGCTACCGCAGCTGGTCGTGATGGGCAACTTAGATCGTGAGATAAAGGACTCGTATGACCTGAACATTAGGGTACAGGATGGCGGGAAGCCTTCGAGGGCCAGCAGCGCTCTGCTGAGAGTTACGGTGACCGACCAGAACGACTGCACTCCGAAGTTTGAGAAAAGTCACTACGAAGCTGACCTACCAGAAAACAGTCCACCGGGACACTCTGTACTGCAGGTCAGCACACACATCAGTGTCGTACAATTCATTTTATCTGAACCTGTAGAGCCGTTAGCTCTGATTTATTATCGATAGCTAATCAGTCATTTATCGACCGGCATCCTCTGATTAATGTTTTTCAGTGTAAAATGTAACTTTAAACACTTACATTTTGCATTTAAAGGTTTCAACATGTCAATATTGGTTTTTACCTCTTCACACCCAACAGATCGTCAGCTTTCAGTTGTGTTGCGTGGGTAGGTTTTCAGAAACTAGAACTTCCTTAATGAAGTCACTTGTTTGTTTTGGCAGTAAAGGTTTGCTGTTGAAACCTTTTCCATTTTGAAAAATTCAATATGAAGTCCAAGTTGAGGACAGTTGTTATTTACTCACAATTGTCCCCTATGTGTGATTTAGGGATACAAGTCTCAACCATATGAGATCCAGCCTTATGGGAGCTTTTTCATTTACAGTCTATTAATCTAAAATATCACAAGTAAATTATTATTATTGTGTTATTTTAAAAAGTAGCAAAGTTAGTTTTCTCCAGGCAAAACTGCGTGTGAGCACTGCTGCTGCTGCTGTTCAGGAGTCAATCCAGAGTTTTTCTTGTCCGCCGAACATTGCAGTGGAACCTTTGGCCTTGTTGGCGATAACACTGCAGGACAACACGGAGCAGCGACTGCACGTAATATGCTGCTCAATTATCCGTACAGACAGATGGTGCAGTGGAGGTGAAGCGGGGCGTGGGATCGCTGTGTGTAGTCACATATTAACCACTGATTCAACTTCACCTTTGAGCCCCCGGCTGGAGCGGCGGTACGTGATGTCGCCGTCAGCGAGCAGAGCAGGAAGGCCCGGTTTGGCTCGGTGACTCCGCAACATCCCAACAAACCCACTTCACCATGTCATCCTCCACTTTTCGTGCCCCTTCTCCCAGACTGCAGTGCGGCCAGCCAGCCTTCCAGCTTGCTGTGCATGACTTAATCTGAGTCAGTCATGAGATTATCCACGGGGCTTATTGGTATTATTGCTCTGGATGTGGCTCATTGCATTTCAGAGAGCCACAGAATTCATTTCACTTAACGTGCGTTTGAGGAGCGATGCTTTAGAGGCAGCGGGACATCGCCGACTGACGACCCTGACCTGCTTAAATCAGCCAATGGCAACACAGACATGTATATCCCTTTCTTTTGACTTGTTTTTTTAAGGAACACACTGCTGTTTTGTGATTATTGTTAGCCTCTTCTAATGCTGTTTCAGTATCGAGTCACCTTATTTTAGACCTTCAGGCAGCCAGATTGTTATCTCAATAAAAGTAACATCGGTGGGTCTAACTTTGATGATTTTCTAAAAATGGGCAAATTTAAGTTTAAATCACTAGATTTTTGAAAAAAAAACAAAACTATTATTCTGGATAAAAATAATGCATAAAAAAGATTTGACTGATATTCCCTTGTAATGTAACCTAAAGTAAATTCCTTTGAACAATTCTTCCGTTCTTATATATTTAATGTGTGGAAAAGCCCAGTTACAGAGCCTGTGTGGGTGTGGTTTTTAATCCGATTTTTTTTCTTTACATTCAAATGTTGCTCTTGTGCCTGATAGGTGCACTTAGGTACATGACATCCCCACCTTGCCACGTTGAATTCACTGATCCTTTCTGCACCACTGCGTTTAAAGCTTTTGAACTTAGCTCCGCCTACCTGAAACCCTTCAGAAATGGAAGCTAACCAGAAGGAAATCAACCAGAGCAGCTTGAAATTTGGCATCTTTTCTTTTAAATGTAGCTCTAATCAACCATATCAAGAAGCTGAGTCAGAACAATTAACAGTTTTTAGAGCCTTTAATCAAGTAATAAGCAGAAGACAGATCCTTGAAATTTAGCGCTTATTAAAGACCAAAGAATATTGACAGGGGTCCCTAATGCGTAGTCGCTAAAATCCTAAAGATGATTTAAAAAACAATATGATGTTGACGAGCTGATTAATTAGTTCAAAAAGCAGCCTCAAATGGTTTGAAGAGTCCACACTGAACTGCCACGTCATTATAATGTAATTTAGTCAACAATAAACAAGACAGGATATAAACTGTGATAGATTATCTCTCTGCGTTAAGTGTCTGCAAGCTCATTTCCTCGGGAATAAATTCTTTAATAGTTTCGCGGAGGGGGAGAAACCAGGCTGATTTGGAGAATGTTGGAATAAATTAAAGGTTTACTGTTGTAAATCACCTGAAACATTCAGAGATTCTGGTTCACTCAGTCAGGAAACCAGACGCTCTTGCAGGTTAATTGTTAACTGGTAGATAAAGAGTGTTTATAGTTTCTGTATGCCTGGACAAAGTGGCCTTGGAGCGCAGCCAGTGCAGCTCTGTCCCTATCACAGTGGCACCGGGCTCCAGCAGCAACACTGTTCAATACACAATTCTCAGAAGCTGTCAATAATTCACTGCTGTTTGGTGATGTCTGCTGCTTAAGGCCAGAGCAAAGGAAAGGAAATCAATGGGCAGGAGAAATTATAATTTCACTTTCATGCTTTCTTTAACCTTAACCTCTCTGACTTGGATCAGCAGCTTCTATGGTCACATCATGGTGCTGGTGGTGGTCCGTCACAGTTTGTGAGTTTCTTGAGCAGACGATAAACAACATATTTATTATGTGGCAGTATGAACTGGAGTCTGTGTGAAAAACAAGAGTCTTCAGAGATTCTGCTAGCAGTAGCCTTTTAAACCCTGATTTCCTCCTAAAAACTGATTTAAATGGGTTTTGATATGGTATAATCTGTATCTTCACTGAACTTATATCATGTTTACATTATATTAGATTTTGATTACTAACGTAGCTGGTGTTTTTAGGGGCTTTAAAGGGTGTTTCTTATTTGGATAAATACGAAGCTACGACCAGAAGCAATCCCTTATGTTTGATTGGTTCTTTAAAAAGTAGCCCTAATAATCTTATCCCATTAGCAGATTTCTTTTTTGTATTTTAGTAAATCATAATATTTTGGACTTAAATTTCAGGGAAATATATTACTGAGTGCAAGCTTGGCTAAGAACCAGCCCAGCTTTAAAGGTATAATGGCCTAAAAAATAGAAGAAGAAAAAAACCCAACATAATTACATTACTCTGTCCTGGGTGAAGGCTGTACAAACACTGGATCAGCAGCACCTGGGACATTTAAATCAGCTGTTCAAGAACTGCTTAATTTGAAATAACCTACATTTCTGACTGGCAGCCATGGCATTCAATGACTGCAATTAAAACGGTTTAGATCCATAGATAGGACAGGTGTGTTAACGAGTATTTCCTAAGTGATATTTTGCTGACTTCTCATATCTCCTAATTGACTAACTGCCCCCATTCACTTTAGGTTTGGACTTATGAAGTCAGCTTGTGGTTCATTCTGTTCTGTCCTATTCAGTCTCCTAATGGGCCCTGAGGAGCTGGGGCTTTTCTGATAATGAGAGGAACATTAACATTCACTCGTCTGCCCATTAGATGCCAATGACCCGCTGCACGGCCGTTAGATGTTGTTGTGTAGGGTTGTGCAATCAGCTTTGATCGGGTATTATCTTTCGCAGCATACAAACTCCTCCCCCTGAGGAAAACATAAAGGGCCTTGTACTGTTGCATTAGTAATGGTCATGACTCTTCATTAGCCAAAGAAGCTAAATAATCATTAAAATTTAACAGAGACTGTAATGGAATCATGACATGTATTTCAATGACGACACATGAAAAAGAGTGTAGCGAATCATTCTTTTAGTCTGAGATTACTTCAGACTTTTATTCTAAAGTTGAATGTATTAAATATAGAATATTTATTGCTTGTCATGAAAACTGCAAACCTGCCAAAAGATCAATGTTTTGATGATATTTTGATTTTCCAGTGTACCAAATGCAATTCTGAACAGGCAAATGATCTGATTCTTATTGTTGCTTTGGACAGTGTTTGGCTAAAAGATTGAATCTGTTTCTTTGTTTCTTTCTGTCTGTCTGTCTTTTGTTTTTTTCCAACTCTTGTAGGTCAAAGCCAACGACGCAGACACTGGCCTCAATGGAGAGATAGACTACAGCCTCCATCAAGCATCAGAATCTGTCCAAAGGCTTTTGCGCATTGACCGCGCAACAGGCATTGTCTACGTCAAAGGTCTTGTGGACAGAGAAGAAGAAACCTTTCTCAAGTTCTTTGTGGTGGCAAGAGATCGTGGACCCAATTCCAAGAGTTCCAAGGTCCTTGTGACCGTACACGTCAAGGACCAAAATGACAATGCACCAGCCATTGAGATCCGTGGTATTGGCTTGGTAACACATCACGATGGTGTGGCCAACATTTCTGAGGACATGCCTATTGGTACACCAGTGGCACTGGTCCAGGTATCAGACCGTGATGAGGGGGAAAATGCTGTGGTGACATGTGTTGTTGCTGGTGATGTTCCATTTCAGCTTCGTCCCGCAAGTGAGTCAGCCAACGATCGGAAGAGAAAATACTTCCTGCAGACAACAACCCTGCTGGATTATGAGCGTATTAAGGATTACAGGATTGAAATAGTCGCTGTGGATTCTGGAAACCCAGCTCTGTCCAGCACTAACGCTCTCAAAGTCCAGGTTACAGATATTAATGATAATGCACCAAACTTTTCTCCTTCAACTGTTGAGGTGGACTTTGCAGAAGGCAACCAGCCAGGAGACAAAGTTCTAGACATTGTGGCGACAGATGCAGACAGCGGCACAAATGCAGAGTTGTTCTATACCATCACTGATTCAACAGCCAGAAGGCTCTTTAAAATTAATTCCAGCACTGGAGAAGTTCGTGTGAATCACTCATTGGATCGGGAAGATAAAGAGCGTTATGAATTCCGTGTAACTGCAGCAGACAAGGGAGTGCCTAGTAAAACCGGCACTGCCACGGTGGTGGTAAATGTTCTAGATTGCAATGACAATGACCCAAAGTTTACACTGAATGGCTATAGCTTCTCTGTCATAGAGAACATGCCTCCACTCAATCCTGTTGGTGTAGTGACAGTCAATGATGCAGATAAGGATGAGAATTCCCAAGTCAGGTTGTTTGTGGAACAGGACAATGGCATGTTTGTCATCCAGAATGGCACAGGAACCATCCTGTCAAGCATCTCCTTCGACCGTGAAAAGAAGAGCACCTACACATTTCAACTAAAGGCTGTGGATGGTGGTAACCCACCTCGATCCTCCTATGTGGGTGTGACCATCAATGTGTTGGATGAAAATGATAATGCCCCATATGTTACCAGGCCATCTAACTCGTCCTTTGTACACCTACCGGTTGGGACCCGACCAAACACACACGTGGAGGTGGTAAAAGCTGAGGACATTGATGCTGGACTCAATGCTGAGCTAGAGTATACCATCATAGGTGGAAATCCATATGATCTGTTCCAAATATCTACCAATGATGGGGAAATCACAGCAGCACAAGAATTAACCCCGAAGTACAATGGGCTACATCGGCTGGTAGTGAAGGTTGTTGATAAGGGCAAACCTCCTCGTAACACCATTGCACTAGTTCATGTTTTTGTAAATGAAACAAAATCAAATGTCTCCCTCATTGAAGCGCTGGTTGGACACAGCCTCTACACCCCTTTGGACAGGGACATTGCCGGAGATCCCAACTATGCCTATTCTCAGCAAAGCAATATTCTGTACGGCAGTCTTGCCGGTTTTGCTGTTGTCATTTTAGTTATAGTTGCCGTGGTCCTCATCAGACGCTGGGTACAGAAGGATACCAAGAGTGGTTACCAGGCCGGTAAGAAGGAGAGTAAGGACCTGTATGCCCCAAAGCAGGGCCCTAAAAATGGCAAAGGAAAAAAGAGCAAAAAGGGGAAGGCTCCAAAACCAGCTAAGACAGGAGAAGACGATGAGGACGCCAGTCTACAAAAAGGCCTCAAATTCAACTTAATCAATGAGAATGTCAATGACAGTCCCAGAATCCACCTGCCCCTTAACTATCCACCAGGGAGCCCTGATCTGGGGCGCCACTACCGCTCCAACTCCCCGCTACCATCCATCCAGCTGCAGCCACAGTCACCGTCTGCCTCCAAGAAGCACCAGGCTGTTCAGGACCTCCCTGCCACCAATACCTTCGTGGGGACGGGCGACAACAACTCTACTGGCTCCGACCAGTATTCGGATTACAGCTACAAGGCCAACCCACCCAAATACAGCAACAAACAGGTAGGAGACTACGCAAACACAGCAATGTACGGCAGGGAGATCTATTGGACCAACCGGGTGTGGTAGTCACGCTGGGACTTATTTGGCAAAGCCAATGTTCTTCCACCAAAGCTGCACTGATTTCCCTGCACATCACCCACCTCCTCACAGTTGTGATTCCTTTTATTTTAAGTTTGGTTGTGTTCACCATTTGTGTTCTGTTCTGCTCAGTTTTGGGTATTCACTTCAACATGGACACCACAAAGCCACAGAATGAAGGATTTCAGGGCTAGACCAAATATGGGCTTACCAATTTGTCAGTTCCTTACAGTAACCTCCCTCCTAAAATGGACTCTGTTGATCTAAAACACATTTAGGGAGGATTTTTATGTTTGAGGTAATGGGTTTTGGGGTTTTTTTTTGGATGATGTTTTCGAGCCTTGCATTCAAATGTTTAATCTGCAGAATTTAATTAAAAGTTCCTGTTATAGCGAAATATGTGATATTTCAAAGAATTACTTATGATGTTATGTAAACCCAAGTTTGATAGCATACGTTTGATTGAGCCCCCTGTTCAACTTGGAAATCCCATATGGGTCTGTCCTTAGCATCTGTGTTTTTCATTTGTTTGTGTTTCATTTTACCTTTTTTATGGTGGATTAAATGAAGGACATTATGAGTTTTCCCCATTTTATTATTCGCAAATGTTCTTGGAGTTCTTTGAGCACCCATTGAAAGGTTCATGCTGACATCCTCATTATGTCTGAATGTGTTATTCTTTTCTTTTTTGTCTGGAGAGCTGACTTGAGGCTTAAAGCTGCTCTTTATGGCCGGATCAGCTTGTTGAAGTGTGACAAAGAGTGACTGTGAATTCCTGAGTTAGTTTTCGTTCTTTTTTTTTTAACCAATTTTTATTGTTTCTTAGCTTTCTTTTGCCAGAAAGTAGACTGACTGAGCAGCACTTTAGTGTTTCCATCCAGTTCAGACCAATTTAAGGTAATTTCAGCTCAGTCAGGGAGCCAAGCAGCAAAGAAGAAAGAAAGGAAGAAAGGCAATAAGAAGGCTAAGGGAGTGGGGTTATAAAGAGCCTCTACGCTATGAAGGAAAAGGTACACTACAACTAAATACGACCGTTTCCGAGCCACAACGCTTCCTGTCAGGTCAGCTGAAAGACGACTTTTAATTTAGCTGTGTTCCCAATCACAGGGGCTCAAAAGGCAATTGTTTGCACAGATTAATGGCAGGTAATTTTCCAGGCACCCGCTTTTGCCTTCTTTTACCCAGAGTGCCTTGCTTTATTCTATTTAATGTACAAAAAGGGGAGTTGGGAGGGGGTCTGTGAGACAGGGGCCATTAACTGTGTGATTGTGATGAGCGTTCACGCCACATCGGCTGTTTTGGGGCTTCATGTTGATGGACCTGCAGCTGTGAAAAGTGAAAATGTCACATGCGCCGAAAAAAACAGACAATCAGATTAAGGTGTTGTAGTGATGTTCAGACTGTACATACATGTGAATGTGAAACATTTTGTTTTGTTTCTGCTTTTTCATCTGCTGTTTATTTTGCAACATTACAGTGTGTCTCGTGTGAGCTTAACAAGGCCATTTCATTGTTCTACTGGCTTCTTAAAGACTTGTGTTGACTGTTTGAAAACATGTACCAAAGACTCACACACACCTGCATTTTCACTGTCATCCCCATCATCAGTTTCAGCATCATATATAACATCATATATATATATATATATATATATATATATATATATATGAACACGCGAAGCAGAGAAACGGTTTCTTTGGTCAGTCTCGCAGAGTCCCTGCTGCTGTTGGCAGCTTGCTAGTGTTCCTGCTGGAACACTAGCAAGCTTAACATTTAGCCTGTTAACATGCAGGCATCATACTAGAATTTAAAGCCACATCTAGTCTGTTCCATTGCACACCTGCTCAGTCATGTACTCTCATGTACTTTTCTATGGGGACATAATTGTACAGTGTTTTCTTTTCTTTTTAACACTTTAAAGCAGAATTTATTTCAATAAACTTGTTTCTTAAATGTTTAAGTGGCGCTTTCTGTGCATTCACTGGGTTCTTGAATTGGGAATATTGGGAATGCTGCAAGGAGAGGTACAGTATTCTATTTTCATTTTCATTTTTCATATATGGAGAGAAAATGTATTTGGCCCAAGATGTTCTGAGTATGGTTTCTGCATGTTCTCAACACTTTCATTAATAATGTCAAGACAAACCATTAGGTTTTGCAGAAAACACTGATTTTAGAGCTGGATGACAGAATGGTAACATATATTTTCCCTTTTTAGATTTTTTTTTTTGAATTCTTTATCTGACCATTTTCTCAATTGTTTGGTTTTATGCTCATAATCCTGATGTTTTAACAACTACGTTCAGACCTCACAGTTACAGGGAGCACAAGGTGATGTAAAAAAGTCCTCAAATACATTATCTACTAAATTATAGGGTAAGAGAAGGAAACCCATCAGATTACATCTGAGGATAATTAGCAAGCTTTTTCCTTGACAAGTTTTTGCTCGGTTAAAGCTGAATAACATAATAAGATAAAACTGACTGTTAGTCAGAAAAGTGGCTAATTCTGTCAGTCCACTACTTTTATTAAATAGATCAGAGATAGATGGATTATCATGATTTTTTTCCACTACATTAATGATGTATCCAGATGACTGTTTTAGAGCCACATATCCGGTTTATGCAGCTCTGGGCTCATAGGGCAGAATCATCAGTCATGGTGTTAGCCCTAGCATCACATCTAGGAAACAGCACAATATAATAATAGCTGTCAAATTGTGCCAAGTATAATCATGGGGTCATAATGCAGTACTTTCCCAAGTAAGTATTTAGTGATAAACACATATTACAACATTGTTATCTTCAGCTACACTTGTTAGCATGCTAACATGCAAACCAAAGGCTAACTGTGCTAACTGTGCTACCGTTAGCACTCTATCAGACGTTCTATAACAATGACAATTTGTGTAGTACTCAGAAATAAGTGTAGATTAAACGCAATACTGAGACATAAAAGAAAGACAAAAACAAGCTGAAAACATACATTGCATGCTTAAATTCTTTACAGATGGTTGACAAGCAAATAATCATTTTTGTGTTTGGTGGAAATGAGCATTTCTATAAGCAAACACTCAAAACTAAGAACCACTCGCTGAAAATAGCATTCTTGTTAGCATTTCCGATGGAGGTCTATTACATGAGCTTTACAGTTTGAACAGTGCTTGAAATTTACTTTTGCCCTTTGTTCCAAATATGTTTTCTCTCCATAACAGCTGGCTGGAACACATCAGCAATTCTCTCTGTCACTTTAAATTTACAGCTGCCTACCTGGTGGCGTGTGGCCTACATGCACGCAAAACACACCCAACACTCTTTCAGACTTTGAACCTACAGCAAACAGCACAGAAAGGACTGAGATCAAAACAACTCTGAGCAGGTGCTGAACCCGCTGGGGTCAAAGGTCAAATATCAATCAAGAACAGCTATTAGCAAAGAGGAGCGAAGAGGCCAAAAGTTAACAGTTCTCCCCGACTCCTCCCTGTGTCTGGTCTCTACATTAACAGTCCGGCGGCGTCCTTTCTGCTTTTACGCTGACCAGCTCAGCCGTTTCTATGGCAACACAACGACCTCTGCCTGTGTGTGTGTGTGCTGACTCATAGTACTTACCAACCTCCCTCTCTGTCCATCCAACCCAACACAATCCTTCCTTCTATGGAAAGCTCTGCCCTTTGAATGAGGAGATGTGTGTTTGTATAAGCTCTGAGCTAAATGACTTCTGGATTACATACTACCATCTGTACACCTGAAGCGTTCCAGTTTTAGTTTGATACTAAAATTGTGTTGAATACATATATTTATCAAATACCAGATGATTAAGCTACTTTTTATTTTATTTGAAGTTTATAATCCAGAATCAATAGTAACAGTGCTGAATAGATATGCCCAGAATGAATTCAGGACAAAAAAAAAAAATTCAAGCCAGGACACATTTGAAACATTGGATAAGAAACTATAAACATCTTCATAGAGGTGTGCAAATATCTGCTGTCAGGTCTCGCTCTGTGTATGTTGTTGTTGTAGTGCTGTTGCGTATCTCTGTGCCAACAGCCCAAGTGTCATATCATGGTGCCTATCAGCTGTTTAAGGGAGAAGAAAAACTGTTTTCACAACCAGCACTTCGTTCATATCTGCACTTTCACTCTGTTGTTTGAGTTTGATTCATGATCTGAGTGTTATGCTCTACAGGCTTACAGGCTGTGCAGAAAGCTCCTATGGCACATTTAGCGTGTCTTAAATCCAAAGACTACTTCGTGCTTCATTTGAAGTGCTTGTGGGAACATTCTGCAGCTTTTTTTTTTTAATAGTCTCAAATAGGCAAAGCAACAATTCCACTCATTAAAAGCTGCAGCTGCTTTTGGAGGGTCGGCTTTTGTGAGAAAAGACGCAGGAGTCAAGACATCGGAAGAGAACCGTGTTGCTCTTGGTTTCAAATGTCCAAACCTGGCTTGTTGCGAGAGAGGCAAGACACAACAGGCTAATTGTTCGGAGAACCTCTCCAGGAGAGTTGAGTGGAGTTTCGAGACACGCAGAGAGAGCTTCCCAAAATTGCCGTTTGGAACAGGGTGGTGGTAGGTGCAGAAAGTTGTAATTGTCCAGAAAAATATGAGCGAGTACTAGACTATCCTCATTAAAGCATTGTTTGTGCATCTTAAATCAGGTACTACCGACGATGGAGTGGCTCCAAATCTTGGTTTATCTGGGTATCAGTCTTGACACTGATACCACGACCCTGAAAACCACCTTGGTTGGAGCTCTAGGTCTTCCAAGAAACACATTTCTATAAGGAACTCCTTCTAAGCATGTCGTCATGCCTGAAAACAACTCAGCTAGCAGGCATCCAGGAGGCCGATGCTCTTCTGTGGGCCCGCTGTAGTCATTAGGAACATGGCATGAAAATAATACTGTTGTTTCAGTTTTTTG